CTGCTGCTTGTTCACCAGAAGTCAGTGACAAAATGGGCAGAGATCTTCAGAGACTCTGCGAGGGCCCCTGCAGCTCTGACTCATCTCCCTTTAAATGATGAAACCCCAAGCACCAGGGCTGGAGCAGGTTGGTGTAGGCTGACCCCCTCCCTCCTCATAGCATGTCCCATGGCCTTTCCTCATCATCAACAATCAAACACCCCTTTTGGAAATACATCTGGAGGTGAAATTGAGCCCAGCTGAAAGCCCTGCCACATGTGCTGCACTCCTGGATCCATCAACCCTCGCAATAATGGGTTTGGGGGTTCTGTGGAACCCCATAATACTTTTTTTTTTTTTTTTTTTTTNTCTTAATAAAACCTGTGTTTTAAATTACTTTATTTTTACAGAATCCACGTGCTTTTCCCCAAGGTAAATTTTCTTACCATTTTTCAAGGCATGATTAAAACTCCAAGTGCCTGGCTGGGCAGCAGCTGAAGGACAGATTCACACCTCGCAGCATCTGCTGCCGCCGCTGGCTCAGCCAATCCATGCTGACCGAATGGGGAGGAGCGGGGGACAATCCCCTGTGCCCATTCCCTGTGCCTGTGCCCATCCCCTGTGCTGGTGCCCCGGTCCTGCCCCATCAGGCTTCGCACCCTGCCCACTACTGGAAGAAAGAAAAACCAGCGCATCTGTTTCTAACGAAGCCGAAGCCAATTTTGATCTGGCCCTGCACGAATCAGAGCTTTTAAAATGTACCTGGAGAACTGTGAAACGCACATAAAGTGTGGCAGCCGCTGGGCGATGCAGGGAGCTTGTGGTGAGCAGCCCCTCTCGTAGCCAGCTTTTACTGCTGCTCCCTTTCCTTCCTGGGAGTGCTCAGCCCTGTGAAATGCCCTGTGTGGTGGGCAGCGGCTGTGCCTCTGCTGGGTCAGGGTTTAAGGAACCATCTCATCTGCACCCTCGGGTGAGAGCTGGGACCCTCCCGTTCCTGCCCACCTGCAGAGGTGGGATAATTCCACCCTTGGAGATTGCGAGTTCCCCCTTGGAGCTGCCAACCCTGCTGGTATCCATTCCTGAATGCCAACCCAGAACCTCGCAGCAGGGAATGCACCTCCAAAAAATCAGAACAACTTCAGAGCTTCACAGCAAATATCGTTCCTCCAATTGAATCAGTGTTGCCAAGGCTGGGATCTGCTTCCAACCCATTTTTACGAGCAGCCACAGGGCAGATTTCCTCACAGACTGCTCTGTGCTGCTCTTGAATCCGATCGGGAGAGGGCAGCTCTCCTTCGCTCTGCGCAGGCTGCATCCCATGCTGCAAGCCCGGGGAAGGTTTTGTCCCTCCTGGTGACTTTTGCAATTTTCTGCTTTTTTTTTTTTTAACCGGCTGGATTGAAAAGCCCAGTTCTTCTCAGCCAACATCTCTCCGCAGACGTCTAGAATTTGGAAAAAAAAAAAAACCAACTTTTTACCAAAAAAGGTAAAAAAAATTCTGAAAAATTTTAGAAAAAATCGGTAAAAATCCATTAATCCCCTATAGCTGCTGATCTCACCCCAAAATGTGATACCATCGCAAGGCTTTGGTAGAAGGATCTCCGATGGATGCACCCACTGCCATTCATTCAGTCAGAAACATTAACAACAGAGCCAGGCTTTAAAAATTGATTACAATTTTCAGAAAGCTGTGCATTGCTTCCTGAGCCCTGGGGCTGAATTTTACAAGAAGTGCTCCATAATCTGGAGAGTCAGAAGGGTAATTTTATCCTTCTAAAATTTAAGTTTTGCCTGTCTTGAGCAGTTGCCAAAATAATGGTGCTTTGCCCAATCTGCCTCAAAAGTTCCACCCTGCTTGGAGTCACTGGGGAGCCTGGAGGGCTCCTCCATCACTCTGGGGGGTTTGATTTCAGCTGCTCACGTTGATCTCCACTTGGGACCTTTGGCAGTCTGGTTTTGTGGTGGAGACACACAAAAAAACTTAATCCCAGCATCCCTGTGGATACTGGCTGCTCCTGACCCCTGTGTCCAAGGGGGAAAACATCCCTGTGCCCATGAACAGCTCACAGGTGCCTGCTGGGTCTGGGGAAGAAGAGGTGTCAGGGGATCTGGGAATTTTCATAATGGGAATTTTCATAATGGGAATTTTCATAACTGCTGGTTCAGCTGTGAAAAAAAAAAAAAAAAAAAAAGATTGGCCAACCCAGCTTGCAGCTGGATTTCCAGGTGGGAGAGGTTCTCCAGGAGACAGGAGCAAGCCAGTGCTCACTGGAGATGGGACTGACCCTGGGGGTGTCCAGCTTCTCTCTGGAGCTGCTGATCACCTGTGCAAACCACCCCCTGCCACTGAAGCCAGGGGCTCAAAAGCAACCCTGGAGCTGCTCTGCTTTGGCACAACCAGACAGCAGCCATGCAAACAGCCTTGGGTGGGTTTCCTGCCTTCTGTGACTCGGGAATTGGTTTCTTCTACACTTGTGCTGCCTGATGGAATGAGGAATGTGGTGTGTAAGGAAACCAGCTGCTCTGGGAGTCCAGGGAGGCTGCCTTAGGTGCATGGGGGAATTTTTCTGCACCCAGAGAAGGAGGGGGCTTGGGCACTGTGGTGGGCATGGGTGCAAGGAGATGCTCCATCTCAGCTGTGCCTGCACTTGCCCTCCTTCAGGATGTTGTGGTGGGATTTTCAGCCAGCTGGGATTTATTGTTGGTCTGTGCTCCTGCCTGGGACCTCCCTCCTCACTGCACTTCACCAGAAAACAGCCAGCCCTGTAGGGTGGCACTGCCCTTTCCTGCCCAGCTCTGCCCTCCCGGTGATGTCAGGGGTGTGTTTGAAGCTCGGGGAGGAGGTGACAGCCCTTGTTAATGCATTGGTGAATGTTTTAAAGAACAAAGCCCCAGACCTGGCAGTGCCCAGCCCTTCTCCACTTCGCCTGGGGTTTGGGTTGATGTGTGAAAACTGTGGCAGCAGAGAGGCACACTCAGAAATAATTTCTTTTCTTCTGCCATTGTATTTGGCCTTTATTCTCCTTGGTGAATTCAGTTTGTACTTGTGATACTCTCTAAGGATGCTGAATCTTCTTTAATGAAAGCCCAGACTGTTGTATCCTGCAGTCTGCAGCACTGGGTATTCAAAGGGCATAACCAAACACAGGAACGAGGCGGAGAAGGGTTTCTGCAAAGCCCAGCTGATCTTGTTTTCTACCCAGCACCTCAACCTGAGGGCTGCATGTGCCATGGACCTGCTTAAAACCATGTGCTGTGCTTTCTATTCTGTTAAATGAATGAGGTATGTAAAGTTTCTAGCTACATATTTATTCTCTCAAGTACATTCCTTATGGGTGTCACAACATGAACTTACACATAGAAATACACAAATACTGTGTGTATACAAATAGATATATTTCATACATCTATAGTGAGCTGGAGAGAGCCAAGTGGCTCATAAGGATTAGCCTTGCTCCCAGGAGAGGAAAGATTAATTTCTGTTTCTGAGCCAATAAAGATGTGTCAGAGGGCTGGAGTGAAGGGGAAACATTGGCAGCACCTCTGTGCTTTTCAGCATATTAAGATGTCACCATGCTTGGATTAAAAAAAAAGAACGAAAAAACAAGCAAGCAAGACATGAATAATAAATAGAGCAACATGCATCTGACTTCAAGGGGAAACTAATTTCCCTGGGGCTTGCTCCACACCATATACATTAAAATCTTACCTGCTTTGACAGCTCTGTGACCTGAAGAGAAATGCTGAGAAATGTGGTGTCCAAAGCAGGGCCTGGCCAAGGTCCTGCTGCCAAACACAACTGGGATTTCTTTTCAATGCTTTGATCCCCCCTGCCAGCCATGGCTTGCTCTGCCTGTGGGAAGGAGCCACAGTGCAAACCTAGCCGAAATTATGCTTGACTTTGTTTTTTTTTTTAAATATGCAACCCTCAAATTTTTGTGTTGAGCTGCCTGAAGGGTGTGCTTTACTGATGTTTTCTGTCTGCTGACTGTCTTCTGTCTGCTGTGGGACAGTCCCTGCGATGGGACGTGGTGGGCACAGGGATGGGGTGTGAGCTCAGGCTACCATCACCACCTGGAGGGATGCAGCAGAGGAGAAGCATGGAAGATGGGTATCACCCGAAGAGAAGATTTTCTGCTACCACTCTCAAATAAATAAGGAAAAAATGCATCCCCACCCACTCTCTGCCCCCCCGGAGCCTCAACCTGCCAGCAGAAGGAATTACAGCTGCTTCCACACCCTCTGCACCCTCTTGAATTTCCATCACTGGTCCTGCCTTACTCCAGAGGAGGTGTCACTTTGTGTGAGCCTGGCACGGGTCCACATCCTTGGTTTTTCTCTTTCAGTTCTCTGCTTATTTGGGCAATGCTTGACCTGGTGCCTTTTATCTTGGATCAAGTTTCCACCGTAAAAACAAGGGCTGGTCTGATGTGGGCTGTCCCAGGTGCCGGCACATCCTGGCTGTTCAGTTTCCTCTGCGGATGTTTCTGGCACCTGGGGTTTCTGGGTGTGACCAAAGCGGGTTCCTGCCCCATCCCAAGGGAAATGTGGGCTTTCCAGGGTCAGAACTCTTGGGTGGCAGAACCCCTTCTCGCTCTAACAACACTGCAAAGCCAGTGACCTCGTTCCTGCTTTGTTCTCACTGAGTCACTCCCGAGCTCATTCCGGTAACTTCGCTCATGCCACTGACTAATTTCGCCTTAACTCTTCTTTCCTCCACTCAGGCCTTTCAACTGGAAAAACTGGATGGCCCTGGGTTGTGGTTTGGTTGGTTATTTTGTTTTGAATCCCGAGGTTATCGTGTCGGGTGTAACTGGGGCTGTTGCTGTAGGTCTGAACGAGCCCGGGTGGGACTCGAACCTGAGTCTCCCACTCCCCGAGCCGACGCCTTCCCCGCTCGCCCACGGCCGGAGGGCGGAGCGCAGGGCCCGGCCCCGCCCCTGCCCCGCCCGCGCGCGGGCGCGCCTGACGACAGCTGCAAAGCACTTTTTCAGCAGCCGCAAGTGAGGTGAGTCGCGACCCGCGGCGCGGGGGGGGTCGGACCCCCCCCGGCCCCTCAGGCCGGTCCGGGACCGCCGGGACGAGCGGCGCGGCCGCGGCCGCGCCCCCGCCCTGCCGGGGCCGCGCCGCCCGCGCTCCGGGACCGGCTGGGGGGAGCGAGCGGGGTGGGGGGCGCGGGCGGCGGGGCCGCGGGGCGGGGAGAGGCGGCCCGGCCGATTGCTGTAGCGGCAGAGCCCGCGCCTCCCCCCTCGCAGCCCGGCCGTGGGGGCCCCGCTGTGAGCCGGCGCTGCCCCCGGGGGTTGGGGGCGGCGAGTCCCCTCAGGGGGCGGTGGCGGGGCCGGGCTCGGGCTGCGAGCTTCCCTCCCGCTTCCCTCCCGCGTCCCTCCCGCAGGGGTCCGGCGCAGCCACCGCTGACCCGCCGTGCCAGCCCGCGGCCTCCGCGCTACCTGAGCCAATGCTAGATCTGGAGGTGGTGCCCGAGCGGTCTCTGGGGAACGAGCAATGGGAGTTCACCTTAGGTAAGTGTGTTCTTTCCCCCGGCCCGGGACGTCAGCGGGGCCGTGCGGGTCCCCTCGTGAGGGCTCTCCCAGCGCTGTCGGGGAGTTGGGGAGAGAAAGGGGGCGAGAGCCAAAGCTCACCTTTTGCTGTCGCTAAAAGTGCTAAAGTACGAGCTTTAACGATTTCCTCGTACTTTATAATTTCATCTTCAGCTTTTGCGCGCTAACTTGGGCTTTGTTTGTCTGATTGTGCTTTCATCTGCTCGTTTGCTTTCTTTTGTCTTGCCATAGGAGTCTAATAATTCTTTTAAATAACTCCTGAAAGAGGAAGCGTGAATGTGCTGATTGTCACCTGAATATGTGTCAGGTGATGTTGGCAGCTCCAACCGTGCACTGATACTTACTATAAACGCTGTGCTTTTCTGTACAAACCCTTCATAAACATGCATCGAGTTTCACAATTTCTTTGTGTTGCTGTTGGGTTGCGAAATAGTGGAGAAAGTAAACTTTGGAGATATTTTCTCAGGGTTAGATAACAAGTGTTTTTTCCCCCAATCATTTGTATTTTTCATCTCACTGAGTAGTCCTTCCCTACCAGTTATTGTCCTGCCTACTGTGATGAGAAGGAGCTTTCCCCTCGTGCAGGACACTTAAATGTGCAGTTGAAATGAGATGTGTGGATTCTTTGGGTGACCTGTGTTTTCAAGCAGGTATTGGCAGCCCTTGAAATGCTCAGAAAACGCTGTCGATGTCATCTGTTCTGAATGGTTGTGTGACATATCAGTGTTGGCCTCTTTTATTTCTGTTTTCCATCGTTGCTGTAGCTCTGTGAGAAGTTAATGGTGGTAGGAGTTTGGTGCATGTAAACAAGGCACTGTGTGTCAGCCCTCAGTGAACTTGAGTTACACTTGGGCTGCTGCTCCTGTCACCTGTGACAGCGAGGGGACAGACTGTTCCTAAAGACGTTGTTACACAGTTGCCCTGAGCTAGGTTGGACCTAAGGAGTGGTGCTGTGCCTTGGAGTTATTTATATGAAACCCATCAAACACAAAGGGGGGTTTTTGCTGCCGTGACTTTGGTCAAGTACAACTTAGTGGTTACAGACAGGGCTAAATGGCTTTTGGAGTCTAATTATAGCACCTCAGGTCCCACCCTTTGAAATCTTGGTGAACTCCTTGTACCCTAAATGTTCTGTGCTCTCAGCTTTGTGTGACCTTCTGCCATCCTTTAGTGCCTGTCTTACCTGGGGAAAAGCAGCCTCCAACTGCATGCCCTGGCTGTCTTCATAAATAGAGAATACCAGCTCCCCTCCATTTCTGTGTCAAAACAAGAAAAGGAAAGAGAAAATGTTTTTCCTTTTCTCAAGGAAAGCCTATTAACGCAGTCTCATGTTTAAAATCTTACAGTATCTCTATGTGCATGCACACACACATGCATAGATGTGAGAGGGAGGAAACTCAGCTGAATTTCTTGGAGTAAACATAGCCACCACGTGATGTGTCTAATATATAATTAGCATGACCTGCTGGTGCAGAGCAGGAGGCTGACTAGGTATTAGGATACTCAACTTTGTGGTGCACCAGCGATGTGTGGAGCTTGTCCCTGCTGACAAAGCTGGTTCAGCTGTGTTAGTGGCAGCAGGGTTGGTGGTGCTGGTGTAAATGGGATTCTCACTGCCAGCACTGTTCTACTCATTATTTGTTTAGCTCTGCTCTTAGCAGAACTAATGGCAGTATTCCTGAACTGCTGCTGACTCTGGCTTCCAGTACTGTGCCCACAATGGAGATGACTGAGGGGAAATGCCAGGAAAATTTTGTACATGACTTTTTGGATTCTGTTTCTGGCTCCAGTGTTGACTCACTATGTGACTAGAGCATAAAAAATCTAACCAAGACTGAGTTTAGATACCTGTGCCACTGCACCTCTTGGGCTACATTCCTGTTGTTTTAAAGGAGAGCAATTAAATACTTATTCTGTAGTGCCTGTAGCTATGTTATTAGTGTTTGAGATATATAATTTCTAAGGCATACTTGGATTTCTCTTGCCCTTTATACTTTCTTTTCCTACCAAGTTTCATGTTTTTTTAAATTTAGTGCATTTTGATTAATATTAGAATTTCTTGTATTTTTCTCCTAATCTTTATTCACTTCTCTACCTCTATCCCTTCAAGCCACACGGTCTTAGCATAGGCTGATGCTTCAAGCCATGATGTTCCTGACCAGTGTGTGTGAGAGAGCTGTCCTGTGCTACTTGTATCACTCCAGCATTTAGAAGAGGGAAAGGTCTGTGGCAGAGGAGCCCTAGCACTGGTCTTTGCAGGCATTGCTGCCATGGCTCAGTTTGGTTGACTGTCTGATGTGCTGGGAACCATGTTTGCTTCTCCATTTCCCCTGACTGATGAGCAAGGGAAAAAGAATTCTTTGTTTTCCTCTTTGACTGCAAAGGCTGACGAATGTTGAAGAAAAAGGGGATGTTGTGTATGGGAAGACTGGAGAAAAATAACCCATTTTTTTATTCTTCCTTTGACTTTCTGCAAATGGAGGCAAAGGGAGGATATTGGCTGTTGAACACATTTTGGGTCCTGTAAAGTGTTCCTGGAGAATTTGGGTTGCTCACTGTAGCTGTGCTATGCAGCTGCATGGCCCAATCAGTTTGATTCTGTTACTGAAAACTGAACCAAGCCAGTCCATGTCCATTTGCTTGCAGCCTGAGAAAGCTGTGAGTAAGAGAGTCACATGAGCCATCTGTTTGCACACTTACCAGCCCAGGATTGCATCAGTTTACATCAAACTACAGCCCCAGCTCAGTGTTGCTGCACTCCTTGAACCGGGTGCTTTTGACTGAATCCTCCCTGGCTGCTGGCACCACCGGCGTGTGGGCCCTGTCAGCTGTGCTGGCTGAGCCTCAGCCTGTGCCACTGGTTTATTTTTTAAATGAGCTCATGGTCTTAGTTCTGCAAGTCTTTTATGGATACTGACTTAGGACATGGGTTTTATACTCTTCAATCAACCTTATGTTTTTTTCTGGATTCATACTTTTTACTAGGTTGAGAAATGTGGAACTTTTACAGCAGCATCTTTGATCTTTGCTTCTTGCTGCTATTCATGTTCCATTCTGAAAATATTACCTAATACATAATAACTGTCGTCTTCAAACTCTGCTGCCTAGACTACAAGGCAACTGCTATTTCCTAGATAATAGGAAACAGTGCTGCTTTATTGTGTGGCTCTGCATTTTAATTTCATTACCATTATTAAAATAATAACTCTTCTTTTTTACTTAATATCATCTACGGATGTATAATTTCTAGCTGCAAACCAAATTGTCCCCAGGCTTATGGGCTAAGGTGAAAACCAGTTTTGCAGACATGTTTGTGGTATGGTATTTGCAAATTGAATCACTATAGTTCTAATCTGTACATCTGTTTTGCCAAAACTTGATTTCCTCATTTCAGCAGAGCTGTAATATATGGACACGACAATGAGATTTATATTTTTTTGATTTTTTTTAGTGTTGTGCCATTATTACCTTAAAGCAGTACCCATGGTGAGCTAGGTGTGTATGTTATAAATAGATATATATGGAAAGAGAGAGAGATTTCTCATTTTGATACTGTAGTTAATGTCTAAAACGCGCTTTAAAACATGACATACTTTTGAGAAGTGTAGCAAAAAACATGACATAGTTTGAGAAGTGTAGCAAGTAACTGAAAGTTTTGAATGTACTGAAAGTGTAGGTTCTGAGGTAAATTATCTCTAATCAGCCCAACTTTCTTAATATTTAAAAACTAGAAATAGAAAAGGACAGAGCAAGGAATGGAAATAAAATAATCCCATAACTAATCTGAATTGACTTGCAGCAGTTAGTAGGAAAATGAAACTTCACAATTATGAGCTCATAGCTTCCCTTTATAAATGCCTGCCTTGAATTTAGGAATGTGATCACATTTCATTTGGAAAGACAACAAAGGTTTTTAGTGTGATAAATGATGAGATGGTGTGATGCTATTTTTTCTGCAGAATCAGCTGTTCCATTCTGCTTTCAAAAATTTATGGTTTTAAAGATAAGATATACACTAAGGAAAGGAAAAAAGCCCTTGAAATTGTGTGAGGGGCTGACTGACTATAAGTGTATTGCCTCAATTGAACCAAATTTTTAGTATGTATGTCTTGTCTAAACTGAGAAGATAAAGTTTCTTCCTTGACACAGATGGAGCCATATCAGCAGCTAATGTGGCCTCTTGGGTCTGAGGAGAATCGTTGCTCTCTTGTATTTGTAGGTGTCTGGTATACCCAGTACTTCATCAACCTTAATGGAAAAGTGTTTCAGGAGTGTGGCTGGGAGTGCTCTAGCCAGCTGTAGTGGAGTTTGATATGGGTGCTTGTACCAGTTATTGGACTGATGACCCCAAAAAGCAGAAAATTTTATGCACAGGTTGTGGCAAGCTCTTTGCTTTTTTCTGCTTGTACTTTGCTGTGTAATTTTGTGTCTAGAGATACTTTTTCCATATATGCCTAACAACTGGTAGATAAACAATGAGTTTTCTGTTTCCAAACACCAGGTCTGTGCTGATACCATGACTCAAGTCAGCTTGTTTGTTGACCGCATACCTTTCTGT